CAGTGAAATCCTTGCTGACCTTAAACGCAAAAAAGAAGCTTACAAGAAGTGGAAGATTGGACAAATGACCAGGGAGGAGTATAAAAATATTGCTCAGGCATGCAGGAGTGAAATCAGGAAGGCCAAATCACACTTGGAGTTGCAGCTAGCAAGAGATGTTAAGAGTAACAAGAAGGGTTTCTTCAGGTATGTTAGCAACAAGAAGAAAGTCAAGGGAAGTGTGGGCCCCATACTGAATGAGGGAGGCAACCTAGTAACAGAGGATGTAGAAAAAGCTAATGTACTCAATGCTTTTTTTGCCTCTGTCTTCACGAACAAGGTCAGCTCCCAGACTGCTGCAGTGGGCAGCACAGTATGGGGAGAAGGTGACCAGCCCTCTGTGGAGAAAGAAGTGGTTTGGGACTATTTAGAAAAACTGGACGAGCACAAGTCTATGGGGGCGGATGCGCTGCATCCGAGGGTGCTAAAGAAGTTGGCGGATGTGATTGTAGAGCTATTGGCCATTATCTTTGAAAACTCATGGCGATCGGGGGAGGTCCCAGATGACTGGAAAAAGGCTAATGTAGTGGCCATCTTTAAAAAAGGGAAGGAGGAGGATCTGGGGAACTACAGGCCAGTCAGCCTCATCTCAGTCCCTGGAAAAATCATGGAGCAGATCCTCAAGGAATCAATTCTGAAGCACTTAGAGGAGAGGAAAGTGATCAGGAACAGTCAGCATGGATTCACCAAGGGCAAGTCATGCCTTACTAACCTAATTGCCTTCTATGAGGAGATAACTGACTCTGTGGATGAGGGGAAACAACTGGATGTGTTATTCCTTGACTTTAGCAAAGCTTTTGATACGGTCTCCCACAGTATTCTTGTCGCCAAGTTAAAGAAGTATGGGCTGGATGAATGGACTATAAGGTGGATAGAAAGCTGGCTAGATCGTCGGGCTCAACGGGTAGTGATCAACGGCTCTATGTCTAGTTGGTAGCCGGTTTCAAGAGGAGTGCCCCAAGGGTCGGTCCTGGGGCCGGTTTTGTTCAATATCTTCATTAATGATCTGGAGGATGGCGTGGACTGCACTCTCAGCAAATTTGCAGATGACACTAAACTGGGAGGAGTGGTAGATACGCTGGAGGGTAGGGATAGGATACAGAGGGACCTAGACAAAGTAGAGGATTGGGCCAAAAGAAACCTAATGAGGTTCAACAAGGACAAGTGCAGAGTCCTGCACTTAGGACGGAAGAATCCCAGACACTGCTACAAACTAGGGACCGAATGGCTAGGCAGCAGTTCTGCAGAAAAGGACCTAGGGGTTACAGTGGACGAGAAGCTGGATATGAGTCAACAGTGTGCCCTTGTTGCCAAGAAGGCTAATGGCATTTTGGGCTGTATAAGTAGGGGCATTGCCAGCAGATTGAGGGACGTGATCATTCCCCTCTATTCGGCATTGGTGAGGCCTCATCTGGAGTACTGTGTCCAGTTTTGGGCCCCACACTACAAGAAGGATGTAGAAAAATTGAAAAGAGTCCAGTGGAGGGCAACAAAAATGATTAGGGGTCTGGAGCACATGACTTATGAGGAGAGGCTGAGGGAACTGGGATTGTTTAGTCTCCAAAAGAGAAGAATGAGGGGGGATTTGATAGCTGAAAGGTGGTTCCAAAGAGGATGGATCTAGACTGTTCTCAGTGGTACCTGATGACAGAACAAGGAGTAATGGTCTCAAGTTGCAGTTGGGGAGGTTTAGGTTGGATATTAGGAAAAACTTTTTCACTAGGAGGGTGGTGAAGCACTGGAATGGGTTACCTAGGGAGGTGGTGGAATCTCCTTCCTTAGAGGTTATTAAGGTCAAGCTTGACAAAGCCCTGGCTGGGATGATTTAGTTGGGAATTGGTCCTGCTTTGAGCAGGGGGTTGGACTAGATGACCTCCTGAGGTCCCTTCCAACCCTGATATTCTATGATCTCTGTATCCAACAGTATCAAACTAGCAAAGACCTGAAAGGCGCAGGCTAGCCAACTCACCATGAAATACACAAAGGAACAGGACTGCCATGTACCAGCTGTACAGGACCACTTCTGTCTACGAGCTAGAGAGGCAGGGGGTCTTGTTGTCAGACTGGTTCAGTTCTCTGCTTGGATGTAGTGTGTGAATACACTTAACATTGTGTTCTTTGCTTCGGTTGAGTAATCTGTATAACGGGAAAGACAACACAGCAGCTCTGCACATATAAACTGTCAGGGGAGCAAGGGCATCCCCATTATGTCAGGAAGCAATACACCTGTGGGACGGGTGCATACAACATTGGATCATCTTGGTAGCCCTACATCTTCCAAGTGCCCAGAATGATACAGCAGTTCACTTAAACAAGAAGAGCTCCATCAGTGACTAATGGGAATAGAAAGACTCAGTCTAGGTCAGGTATTCCTAAAATGGGAAGTTCCCTCAGTAGACCTATTTGCTACCAATGTGAACACAAAGTTTCTAGTGTTCTGCTCCCAGGGAGGAGCAAGCCCAGGATCTGTCAGACACACTTCTAATTCAATGGGGAAAGAACCTGTTTTAGACTTTTCCCTCTGTTCTGTTAATCCCAAGAGTTCCAAGAAAGATTTTACAGGGCAAAGTTCAGGTAATATTGATAACTGCAGCTTGGAGGCATCAGTTCAGGTACTCTGACCTGGTGCATGCATCAATCAGTCCACCTGTTCCACTTACAAACCTACAGGGCATCATCTCACACTGGAGTCTGAACCCCTTGCAGATCTTCATGGCTCTTGAAGCAAAGACAGTAGATTTCGGAAGATGTAAGGGGTGCAAAAAAGACATTCTAGTTATGCATCACTTAGTGGCCAATGGGGACAGCTCTCTCTGATTCTGTGAATGGTGGATTCTCTTGCTTGGAGGGCTGGAGATGCTGGTAGCTTGATGTAAGTGAGAGGCATAGCTTCCTCGATTTACGTTTTAGGCATGAGAAAGCGTGCTGTTTTTGTTTAGTTTGTAACCCTTTTATTCTTGCTTGGTCTGACTTAAATCTATGTTCTTTATTAATAAACTTAGAGTTTTACTATAAACCAGGGGTAGGCAACCTATGGCACGTGTGCCAAAGGCGGCACGTGAGCTGATTTTCAGTGGCACTCACACTGCCCAGGTCCTGGCCACCAGTCCAGGGGGCTCTGCATTTTAATTTAATTTTAAATGAAGCTTCTTAAACATTTTAAAAACCTTATTTACTTTACGTACAACAATAGTTTAATTATATATTATAGACTTATACAAAGAGACCTTCTAAAAACGTTACAATGTATTACTGGCACGCGAAACCTTAAATTAGAGTGAATAAATGAAGACTCGGCACACCACTTCTGAAAAGTTGCTGACCCCTGCTATAAACCATCTCAGTGCAATGTACTGAGGTAAAGTGTGGGACCTTGGCTAAACTAACAGACATAGTAGGTGCACTGTCTCTTTGGAGACAGCAAGCTTAATAATTACCGAGAGTGCCCAGTGAGAGAGACTGGACACTGCAGAGAGACATTTCTGGGAACTCCGGTTCCCTGATTGTTAACCTGCAAGGCAAGGTTAAAGCGTGCAGAGTCTCAAGGGGTGTGCTGGTGAGGCAGACAGGTTGATGTGGAATGGAGCTATCTCACAGTTTAAGCCCCAGCAAAGCTCTCTCTTGCTAAGGCAGACAGGTAACACAGTGGCTTACAGTTCTGGCTGCCCTGAGCAGAGCATCACAGCATGTTTGATTGCGCCAAGTTTATCAGTCATTCCAGATCACTCTGAATAAATGATCTGTCTTTATCCCTGTTTATTACTCCACCAATCTGTGCTAGTAAAGTTTTTGTAAATGAGACAATGATTTTATACTTCCACATCATTGATAAAAATATTGGAGAGTTGGCTGTGAACTGATTCCTGCAGAGTCCCAAACTGATGATTACTATTAACACTTATAATTTGAGATCTATAATTTAGCCAGTTTTTAATCCATTGGATGAGGGCTATGTTGATTGCATAGTACAAATATTTTAGTTTTTTTTTGTCCTGAGGAGAAACTCAATGCAGCAGTTCCCCTAAGAGCAGCCGTAGAATTGGGAAATTAATAGGGTGTCAGCCTTTCTACAGCCTTCCCCCTTCTGCTCAAAACATACTCAGCAGAGTTCAGGTGTCATCCTGTTTCAACCCTTAGCTCTGTGAGCACCAGCGTCTTCTGCAAATTAAGTGCTTGGTCTTAATGCTTAATGTTATGCTTGTGAGTAGACCCATTAATTTCAAGGGGACTACTCTGTGTATAAAGTTAAGCACATGTAAGGAATTTGGGACCTAAAAGAAATAACATTCTTGGCTGAGAGATTCGTATTAGGTTATACCTGAGTGTCAAAGAATTTCCAGGAAACATGCTGAAAAGCTTCAACAAATTATGTGTAAATAGAAGTGGAACTATCTAGTTCTAGTGTAGTCTAACAAGGAAGAATATTACATAATTAGTTTCCTACGTTCCTAGCACAGTTGTATTATGGTGATCGTGTACTGTATCTTTTCTTCAGGACTTGCCATATGAAAAGGTCAGTATCCTGGTAACAGATTTTCTTCGCAAATGGTATAATTCTCAACTATTTTTATACCCTTTTCCTTCTTTCCTTCCACCTCTTCATAAGCATATTGCTAGCTTCTGTATCTACTTCTCTGCATGACATAGAAATATTGTGTGCTACAGAAACACATGATACAGATTTTCTCGAGCCCCTTGCCAAAGAGATGACAAACTAAGTCATATCCACTTCTCTCCAGCCTGGGCAAGTGTTGATGGGCATAACTGTGCAGTCCTAGTTTGAGGGTGTGCCCCAAGAGTCAATATTAGAACCATTATTTTATTAATTGTCCATTCTTTATAACAAGCAATACTCCATATATTGTACTACATCATTCAGGGAACCTGGATCCAAGCAGCACATTATCTATATAGCATACAGTAAATACTGTGATTAAATATTACATATTCTTATCCTCTAGCCACGCCCACCAACAGACCTGGGTTTCAATTTTGATGTCAATAAACAACAAAGACAGCTGATAGCCGAACTGGAAAACAAAAACAGGTAAATCATGTAGAGCTGTTTAGAGGGGAGTGTGTGGGGACAGAGCATTTACTTGCAGGCTTACTTAATTATTTCTAGCATTTTGTTATTTAAACTGAGTTTCATAGGTTCCCTTGTTGAATGGTGCACCTGTTTCATTAGTGCAATTAGTTTCTGTTGTTAATTACCTCTGACAATCACATTTTTTGTTGAGATGTCTAAGTATGGACATGGGGGGCCGGCCTTTAGACCCCCCAAGTTTGAAAAAACTGGCCCATCTTAGGTCAGAATTTGATGCCAAGTGCTTTGTGATGTTCATTGCCCTAAGATGGGGGTTTCTGATGACTACAGTGCGAGCTAGACACATACCTCAGAGGCTCCCAAGTTCAAACATTTTGGTCAAGTTGACAGTCTCCCTTATGTCCTGTGTTCCTGAGAACCCTTGAGGCCCCAAGAAAACTGTAGGAAAGGGTTTGAAGAGGCATTGCTGGCATATGGAGAAGTGGTGACATTGGTTCATTTCAGATTCATCAGCTTTTTGATAATAGCTCTACTAACTTGTCCTGTGGCAATGTTTAGGTCTCCACTACATACCACTTCTGGATTTGAGCCCACACCATTCGCACATGAAAGGGAATTAACTGCACTTACTACGCTGCTGCAGTTACAGAGCTGTGTAGAAAGCACATTTGAAGCTTTTGTCTAGAATTTGAAAACACAGTATGAACTGTTGCCTTGTTTCTTGTTCAATCTCCTTGTCTCCTTATTTCAACAGAGAGATACTGCAAGAAATTCAGCGCCTCAGACTGGAGCATGAACAAGCCTCCCAGCCAACCCCAGAGAAAGCTCAGCAGAACCCAACTTTGCTGGCAGAACTCAGGCTTCTACGGTAAAAAAAAGACATCTAAAACTTTTATGCATGTGACATATTAACCCTTCAGCCATGTGTGGCCTCTTCTGCAGGATGGATGGTCCTATCTGGTACTGAGAACAGAGTATTATTGGTAAATCTACGAGAACTCTAAGGAGCCATTTTAAATCTTTCTGCTGGGGATTGTTGAAAGCCGGCAGTTATATAAAACTATGTGACTCTTTCATAAAGTGGATTTAAAAGCAAATAGAAACATCACTTTAAGTGTATTCTTGCTTTTGACAAGTAAGATAAACAAGAAAGTTATTTGTAAGGCGGCCGGTAGAATTGGGACCATTTGCTTATTATTTACTGGACAAGCGAATGGAACAGAAGGGCAATGTCAGTGATTTGCTTAGTCAGTGGGGTTTTGAAAACACTTATCTGCAAACATTCAGCCACATCTCCAGAGTTGAGGAGCAATCTTCAAACTCCTTTGATTATGTTTGCATTTTGAAGTGACAAGGGAAGAATTTTCAGTATTAACAGAATAAAGTATGTCATCGTCTGTGTAATCACTAGTGAATTCTCTGGCTGCTTTTTATTTCATCTTTTGCTTGTTAATTCTCAGTTCAACCTTCAGAAAACACCATATGAAACCTAATGCACATCCTGAAATTTAAGCTCTTGACAGATACAGCCCTTTGAGAACTGCATTATGTTAGGATTGCAAGAGAAGCCATGCGTCCTGTGCATGTTGAGGAGTTCTCCCTAAGACACAGTGCCACTGGAGTGGGGCAGCTCTGCTCCATCCCCAGTACAGGGCAATTCCTATAGGCAAGACTGTAAGAAAGTCATGATTTTTTGGTTCAGAAGCCACCGTTTGTAAAAAGTCCAGTTTTGGTGTGGGGTCAAATTTGAGTGCACTGGAGAAGCAGCCAGGCCAAATCTGAGCGAGTGGCATTGCAACCCCTCGAATAAGTGGCGCACAGGGTCGCAATGCCACTCAAATTTGCAGCAACTATACAAAGTTGCCGTGTGTGTTAAAAGTTTCAGTTTCCACAACACGGTTTTCGTACAGCCTTACTTATAAGACAGTATCCAGCCCTCTACTGCAGCATTAAAGGCTCTCAAAATATTTATTAGCTTTTTGTATCGAAGCAGCTCAGCCCCATCAGTATTTCTCAGAGCACTGCTGACCAATATTTCCTTTGTCTCATCTGCTGGGAACATCTCAAGAACACATGTTCTCAAACTGTGGGCTAGAGACCCCTGGAGGGCTTGGACACAACAGTGGTCTCTGTGTTTCCAAGGCTGAGCTCAGTGCAGATGAGGGAACGTGTAAATGTGGCCTTTGCTTCCTGTGCATAAGGGAGACAGACTGACCCCCAATTATGCCCATTCATGCCCTTTGAAGCGGAAAGGGAGGGGCTAGAGCACCACCACGATGCTGATTTCTACTACTCTCCCTCAACTCTCCATTGAAGATCAGGAGAGTGGGGAGCTGGGGACTGGGCTGCACTGATGTCAGTTCAGAAGATGCCAGAACTAGAGGTACTTCGAATTGCATGGAGAGAAGGCTGGAGTGGACTGGCGGGATCCAGATTAAAGAAAGCTGGCGCTGCTAGATATCCCCATCTCCCCCCACGCCCAGTTAACACTTTCCCTTGCAAATTACTTTATATTTTATAGGCTGATCAGAAGCTCTGACTAAGCAATTTAAATTTAATATAAAATCACTGCTGATAAAATCTGCAGTTGACACAATGATTGACAGATGGGTAAATAATAATGAGGACAGAGCAATCATACAGAGTGATCTGAATCACTTTAACCAGGGCCCGTTTGAACAAAATGTGTTTTAATCCATCAAAGTACAAGGTCATACCTCTAGGAACAAGGAATTCTGGCTGTGTTTCCAGAATTTGAGACTGTGTCCTGAAAGCAGTGACTATGAAAAGGATTTAAGAGTCATAGTGAACAAGCAACTGAACATGAGCTCCGGACCTAGTGTGAACGTGTGGCAAAAGGGCTAATGTGACCCTTGGATGTATAAACTGGAGTGTAGTGAATAGGCGTAAGAGATGATTTTTCTTCTGTATATGCCATTGGTGAGACCAGTACTGCATACAGTTCTGGTGTCCACATTTTTACAATGTTGAAAATTGGAGCAAGAGCAGATAACAGTCACAAAAATTATTTGAGGTCTGGGAAATTGCCTTACAGTGAGAGACTTAAGCTAAACGGGCTGAACTCCTTATCAAAAAGATTGAGAGGTGACTATGTTGTATAAGTACCTTCAGGACAAAATACCAGGTACTAAAGGGTTCTTGGGAAAGACATAACGAGAACTGCTGGCTGGAAGCTGAATCTAAACAAATTCAAATGAGAAATGAGGCACAAATGGTGATTAACCACTGGAACAAACTACCAAACGAAATGGTGGATTCTCCATCTCTTGATGTCTTTAAATCAAGACTGGATGCCTTCCTGGAAGATGCTTAGTCAAACACAAGTTATTGCTATCACATTTTTCGCTTCTAAAATGAGTTGGTTACTAAGATCCTTGTAATGATTCATCCGTAGGTGGAGATCCACGAGGAAAATTTCCAGATTCAAAGAAAGGTCAAAGCCTGTGATATAATTTATCCTGTCTTTAACCTTAGACCTGAAATTATTATATGGATGAAACCACAGAAATAAATGAGTAATCCCCTCCTGTGACCTTTTTTCCCCCTGCAGTTATTGTACGATTTGTTCATGGTTTCAAATAATGCAACATGGCTTTCTTAGCACATCAGGTAATGATCTTTTTGACATGTGATGCTAATTTGATTCTAGGTTCCTGACTAGGAGACTTCTTAATTCTCTTTGAAAATTAAAACAAACACACACAAAGCCACTTTTCTCTCAAATCTGTTAAACATAAGACTTTCATTCTAGCAGGCTTTAGAATGGAATAATTTTCAATCCCCAGAAAGGAAAAATTCCCTTCTGTACCTGCAGATTGGCTTGTGTTGTGTTACACTGTACGCAGGTTCTGTTGCAGCAAATGCTTCACAAATTGTATGTCAGGTTATTGGATAGAAGCAGCTCTGTAAATTCTCAGTTCAGGTTAATGGCATTCCATTGTCTCTTCCTTCCAGCACTCTGCGCCCTGTTTTCATTTTTTTTGGTGGTTCAGTCTGACTAGTCTTAAAGCTCTGCTGGTCTGACAGCATCATTAAGAGGATGCTGGCTTTCTTTTCAAATGGCATTGGTTTAAAAAAAAGTGCTTCCCACCATTATAATTCTGACTTTGGGTGTCTGTATTTCATAGTGAAAAATGTGATCGTTGCATGCCATGTTGCAATAGGAGTCGTGGTTAGCGTGTTATGTTTTTGTTAACTTTAAGGGGGAGTACTAAGCAAAGTGAAATATAGCAACGTGGTGTATATGCCAATCAGCCAGCTCTGTGAATTTCCCTGCGTGCCCCGGAAACAACCAGAGTTTCTTTTGACACTTTCTTCCATGTAACTTGAACAGGCAGAGAAAGGATGAACTAGAACAGAGAATGTCTGCACTTCAAGAGAGCAGAAGGGAACTGATGGTGCAGCTTGAAGGGCTAATGAAACTGCTCAAGGTAAACACCTTTGTCTCAGACCTTCCTCTCTCCCCGCCCAGGCTTTGCTCTCACTAGACTCCTACGTTGCTGGTGTCATTACTTCCCTCAGTGATCATGTACAGATAATCTTGTAAACAACAGTATGAACTTGTAAAAAGCCACTTTCATTTTGGCTCTGCATATTGGGAGGGATGGTTAATGTGCGATTAGGTCCACATGCTTCTCATGTTAAAGTTGTTGAACACCCACAGGTTTTGGGAGGCATGGAAGAGGGACGATAGATTTGTTAATTGACTAACCCAGGGGTCGGCAACCTTTGGCACGCGGCTCGCCGGGGTAAGCACCCTGGTGGGCCGAGCCGGTTTGTTTACCTGCCGCATCCGCAGGTTCGGCCAATCACGGCTCCCACTGGCTGTGGTTCGCCGTCCCAGGCCAATGGGGGCGGCAGGAAGCAGCGGCCAGCACATCCCTCGGCCCACGCCGCTTCCCGCCACCCCCATTGGCCTGGGATGGCAAACTGCGGCCAGTGGGAGCCACGAACGGCCGAACCTGCAGATGCGGCAGGTAAACAAACCGGCTCGCCAGGGTAAGCACCCTGGCGAGCCGCATGCCAAAGGTTGCCGACCCCTGCTCTACACCTTGTCCCTCTGAGATTTTGGACGGCACTTCAGGTTCTTAAATCTTGGGTCGAGTGCTGTAGCTATCTTTAGAAATCTCACATTGGTGCCTTCTTTGCGTTTTGTGAAATCTGCAGTCAGGTGTTAAAATGAACAACATGTGCTGGGTCATCATCTGAGACTTCTCTAACATAAAATATATAGCAGAATGCAGGTAAAACGGAGTAGGAGACATACAATTCTTCCCTCTAGGAGTGCAATCACAAATTTAATTAATGCATTATTTTTTAATGAGCCTCATCAACATGGAAGCATGTCCTCTGGAATGGTGGCTGAAGCATGAAGGGGCATATGAATGGTTAGCATATCTGGCACGAAAATACCTTGTAATGCTGGCTACAAAAATGCCATGCAAACACCTGTTCTCACTTTCAGGTGACATTGTTAATGAGAAGTGGGCAGGATTATCTCCCGTAAATTAAACAAACTTGTTTGTCTTAGCGACTGGCTGAACAAGAAGTAGGACGGAGTGGACTTGTAGGCGCTAAAGTTTTACATTCTTTTGTTTGAGTGCAGTTATGTAACAAAAATCTAAATTTGTAAGTTGCACTTTCATGGCAAAAAGATTGCACTACAGTATTTGCATGAGGTGAACTGAAAAATACTTTCTTTTGTTTATCATTTTTTACGGTGAAAATATTTGTAATAAAAGTAATGATATAAAGTCAGCAGTGTACACTTTGCATTCTGTGTTGTAATAGAAATCAATATATTTGAAAATCTAGAAAAATCCAAAAATATTTAATAAATTTCAATTGGTTTTCTATTGTTTAACAGCGATATTAAAACTGAGATTAATTGCGATTAATTTTTTTAATCTTGATTCATTTTTTTTTAGTTAATCACGTGAGTTAACTGCGATTAATTGACAGCCCTAGTCATTATGTATGTGCAGCAAGTGGATTTCAAATATTAATGACTTGGCCATTTAGAAGGCAAAGAATAAAACTCTTTTTGTGGGATGATGACCTGAAAAATGGAATTCCAGTTATCTTTTTTTTAAAGTATAAGTGCTAATAAATAATAATTTACATGTTCAAAGCATAGTGCAAACATTAGGTGAATTAATAGAGTCTCTGGATACCAAAATTAAGTCATAACATAGGCTTTCATGACCAAAGTCTACATTGGAAAACTCTCATTCACTGCTGATCTATATAGCATCCCCATAACCAGCCACTCAGGCTGAAGCCAAGAAAGGAGATTGGCCTCCCAAACTCTCACAGACCAGTAGGAGGAGCAAGGTCCAGAGCCAGAGGCCAACCACTGAAAACACCCTGCCATTGTGCATTAAAGATAACTGTCAAGTAGCGATTGCTAGGATCTAGTTTTGTTGTTTATATCTTAGAAAGAAAAAAGTAAGGGGAGAAGTGTTCATTGGTTTTGTGTGTTTCAGTTTTGGGTGCCCATGTCAGAGGTGCAGGGCATCTGAAACTCTAGTAGAAGTCAAAGATAGTGGCATGCCTTTAACACCTCTAAAAGTCAGCCATGAGGGGACGCAAGTTGAGCACAGAAAAACAGAGGCGGCAAAATTAAACTGCACATTTTATTATTTGCATTGTGGTAGCACCTACAGGCATGACATGAGGCACTGTCCCCACCACTATCCTCAAAAGGTTAATGTAGCTTAACAAAGAGACGGTTAAGAGGTGCCTAGATCACAGTCTATAAAAGTCCCTACATAGGGAAGAAATATTTGATAATAGGCTTTTCAGTCTACCAGATAATCCTTAAGACGTTTCAGTGGCTGGAAGTTAAAGCTAGACAAATGCAGACTGGAAATAAAGTATACATTTTAACAGTGAGAGTAATTAACCATTGGAAACAGTTTTACAAAGGGTCTTGGTGGATGTGAATTTTTAAATCATGAGTGGATGTTTTTCTAAAAGATATACCATAGTTCAAAAGGAATTCTTCTTCTTCGAGTGGTGTCCCTGTGGGTGCTCCACTCTAGGTGTTGGTGTGTCCCTGCACCGGAGATCGGAGATTTCTCGCAGCAGTACTCGGTCGGGGAAGGGCACACACAGGAGTCATCTGGTGCAGCCGTTGGCACCTCCTGTAGTGTGTGCACCTGCGACCGTCCCCTCAGTTCCTTCTCAACCGTCCTCTGCTGCAGATGGAGTTCCGCAGCAGTTCTCTCTTTGACACTTTCTGGGGTGGGGGGCAGTTACAAGTTACATAGTTACATAGTTACTTGCGTCTGACGAAGCGGGCATTCACCCACGAAAGCTTATGCTCCAATACTTCTGTTAGTCTTAAAGGTGCCACAGGACCCTCTGTTGCTTTTTACAGATCCAGACTAACACGGCTACCCCTCTGATAAGTTACATAGGAACTTCTTATTAGTCTCTACTTAGTTACATTGTTTAGTTAGTCTTAGTCTATACATAGTTACATAGTTTCATTAGTTCCTCTTAGAGGTTTTTCTTCAAAAACAAAACAAAAAACAAAAAAAAAGAAGATTTTTTCTCTGCTTAACTCCCTGTTTGGGAACAGTTTCTACAATTTACCATTACAATTAACTCCCACCCTTATCTCTCGAGAGGCGGGAGAGGCTTAACTGCAGTCATGCCGGGCTCAACGGGATTTAAAAAGTGTGACTCCTGTCGTGAACCGATACCGGTTTCTAACGGCCACACATCCTGCATTCGCTGTCTGGGAGAAACTCATATCTCCCAGAAATGCATACATTGCACCAACTTAACAACAAGGGTAAGACGTGACAGGGATCGCTGCTTGAAAATGCTTCTGTTGGAGAAATCCCTCCAACCTCCGCAAGAGACGTCCTCCAGGGAGTCTCATAAACCAGGATCCCTGAGCTCTGATAAGGCTCCAACTTCCAAAACTCTCAGGAAGCGAGCCTCAACCCGCCAACAAGGGTCTCGCAGAAAAAGAGAGCTTCCCCAGCAAGGTCTTTACCCTCAGTGCTCCGCTTATCCAGAGCGAGCACTTACGAGGCACCGGGCTCCTCCGGCACCATCCCTCAGCAGACTCCTGCCAAGCCCCAACACGCGGCACCGGAGTTGAGACGTCAAGTCTCCTCCACGGCACTGACTACCCCGGTGCAGAGCGCAGCACAGGCAGCGGCACCACGATCAATGCTGCCACCACCAGCACCAACCCAAGACTTGATGCCTGCTAACAAACCAAACCCGGCACCAGTCAGCGCTCCAACAGTCGACCGCAACCCCAAGGCGGGACCAGCGCAACTCCTGCATACTGAGGACATAGCAGTTTCTTCGGCACCGCAGTCACCACTGCTCGGCACCAAACACTCCCCAAGCTACATAGCAAGGCACCATCCTTCAGCTCCTGCACCGGTCTCCATGCATAGTGGCGAGGAAGGAGACACGAAGGACAACCGCTTCTCCTCTCAACGTTCATCCCCATCACTTATGAGACCTACATGGAACGCTGTGAAGCCTAAGCCTCATCCCTCTGAGCATTCACAGCCTTGGCCTTACCCATTACCACCTTACCCCATGCAATGGCCATAATGGGGTCCTTGGCCCACATACCAGAACCCCTATTCTGGTCCCCCTTCCCCAGCAACAAGAGGCTCCAGAGTACATCCATCATTACCGCATAGAGAATGGTGCCTGCGGAGGTAATATGGCAAACACCAGCATTGGCACCACCCACCAACAAAAGGGCTGACAGAAAATACTTAGTTCCAGCCAAAGGTATGGAATTTTTGTTTTGACACCCTCAAGCCTGCTCTCTGGTAGTAGAGGCTGCAAATCAGCGCAGTAGACAGACTCATTTCTGCTCCTCACTGCAAGATAAAGAACACAAGAGACTGGAGCTCTTTGGGCGGAAAGTTTACTCGTTAGCCATCCTTCTGCTTAGAGTTGCCAACTATTCTGCTCTACTAGCAAATTACGACTACTCTAACTATAGTAAAATACAAGAGCTCATGGAGGACCTCCCTGAGCATAAATGTCCTCAACTCAACGCCATTATCAATGAGGGTCAGTTAATCGCCCACACAGCACTGCAAGCCTCAATGGATGTAGCGGACGCAGCTGCCCGAACAACCGCAGCAGCTGTGGTTATGAGAACATCATGGTTGCAGGCTTCGGGAATTCCAAAAGAACTACAACTAAAAATGGAGGACCTCCCCTTCGATAGGGATAAAACGACGTCCTCCATACCATGAAGGCCTCCCGAGCGACACTGCGTACACTAGGCATACACCCTCCACCTGACAAACGCCCTCGCTTTACACCAGATCAGCGGTCACGAGACACCTCATTTAACCATCAACAACCACGATACTTCACTCAGAACAGACCCAAAGAATGGGCTCAGAGGCGACGAGCTCCACAGAACCAGACCTCGTCCACCCGTCCATCTACATCTAAGCCACAATTTTGAAGTCTTGGTCGAGGGTATGCACGACCTCCCACACCTCTAGCACCAACAGATGCCCCATCCCACAATTTTGGCCACCGCCCACGCCCATTTTACCATGCCTGGTCTGCGATAACCACAGATCAATGGGTTTTGGAGATCATACAATCTGGCTACACCATTCCTTTCACAGCCATCCCCCTTCCCCTCCCCCTTTCCCCGCCCCCCTTCAGGGACCCCTCTCACGAGCACCTTCTGCAACAGGAAGTGGACCACCTCCTATTTCTGGGTGCTGTAGAAACAGTACCACATCAATATCGAGGGAGGGGTTTTTATTCCAAATATTTCCTGACAGAGAAGAAAGGAGGGGGATGGAGACCAATCTTAGATCTCCGAAAACTCAACAGGGTCGTACGCAACCACAGGTTCAAAATGATCACTCTGGCCACAATAATCCCAGCACTAGATGGGGGGGATTGGTTTTCAGCCCTCGACCTCCAAGATGCATACTTCCATATTACAATACATCCTGCTCACAGACAGCTCCTGAGGTTCACAGTAGGACCCAACCACTACCAATACAGGGTCCTTCCCTTCGGACTGTCCACTGCTCCCCGCGTATTCTCAAAAACGCTCGCGGTAGTAGCAGCACATTTATGACGCAAAGGAGTCATAATCTTCCCCTATTTGGACAATTGCCTTCTCAAAGGTGCCAATCAACAAGAAATGGCAGGCATGCTGAAGACCACAATAGACCTGTTTCACCAGCTAGGTCTACAGATAAACGAAAAGAAATCCACCCTGGAACCAACCCAGCGATTGGAGTTTATCGGAGCTGACCTAGACTCCATACAAGCCAAGGCAATATTTCCAAACCACAGATTCACTACATTGACCAATCTTATTTCCACGGTGACCATCAGCCCACAAACTTCAGTGAGGACATGCCTTCAGATTCTGGGACATATGGCAGCTATGACTTTTGTAGTAAAGTATGCCAGACTCCATATGCGCTGTCTACAGCACTGGTTGAGCACGGTCTATGCACCCAGCAAACACTCTCTCCACAGACGTGTGACACTACCACCAAGGGCTATCCTCTCCCTACAATGATGGACACAACCAGGGAATATATGCTCTGGGATTCCCTTTCAACAAGACCCCCCATCAGTGACTATTACAACAGATGCCTCCCTGATAGGTTGGGGCGCCCACTTGGGTCACCACAATGTGCAAGGCAAGTGGTCTGCAACAGAAACCCGACTACATATCCATCTCCTGGAACTCTGCATGGTACACAATGCATGCCAACACTTCCTCCCACTCATACGAGAAACCTCAATCTCTATTCTCACCGACAACGTGGCATGCATGTTTTAAATTAATCGCTAAGGAGGAGCCAGGTCTCACTCGCTATGCGTAGAAGCCATTAATTTACGGAACTTCTGCATCTGCAACAATATAAACATCACAGCATCATACCTACCAGGGTGCCAAGAAACTACAGCCGATAACCTCAGCAGGCACTTCTCACAGGAACACGAGTGGGAAATCCATGACAGTGTTCTTGGCATGATATTCCAAAAATGGGGTCACCCAGTAATCGACCTTTTCGCCTTAGTGACAAATCACAAATGTCCACTATTTTGCTCCAGGGCAGGCCTGGCACTGGGATCGTTAGGGGATCCTTCCTCATCCCGTGGAACGCATCACTCATATACGCCTTCCCGCCGCTACCACTGATCCCACGGGTCATCCGCAAGATACGACTCGACAGAGCATACATCATTCTCATTGTCCCCACAGGGTCCAGACAGACTTGGTTTCCATAACTCTCACATCTAGCAGTTTGTGCCCCACAACTGCTGCCTTCCCGGATGGACCTCCTGTCCCAGAACAAGGGCCTGATGCTCCATCCAGACCCAGCAAAACTCCATCTCAAAGCATGGCTCCTCTCTGGTTCCAACATGGGAAATTGAACTGTGCGGAGAAAGTAAAACAGGTATTACTAAATAGCCGTCGCCTCACCACTAAAAATACTTACTGCCACAAGTGGAGAAGATTCTCCCTTTGGTGTCAGCAAAAACAGCTGGACGCGACCAAGGCGCCTCTATCTATGATCCTATACTACCTACTAGAACTGAAGGAAACAGGGTTAGCCATAAGTTCTATTAAAGTACACCTGGCTGCCATCACAGCCCTCCACGAACAGATAGAAGGGTCTTTAATATTTGCTCACCCGATTACACGGCGCTTTCTAGCAGGTATACAGAACATGTACCCAGAAGTACACCAACCTGCACCACCATGGGATCTCAATCTTGTGCTCAAATGTCTCACAAGACCACCCTTCGAACCTCTAGCAACCTGCTCACTCCTACATACGTCAATGAAGGTCGCATTCCTAGTGGCAATCACGTCTGCAAGACGTGTCAGCGAAATAGGAGCATTGATGGCTGAACCACCGTACACTGTATTTACCAAAGACAAAATCATGTTACATCCTCACCCAAAATTCTTGCCCAAAGTGGCTACACATTTTCATATTAACCAAACCATACACTTACCTGCCTTCTACCCCAAGCCACATAACGACTCTTGAGAAGCAACGTTGCACATGCTAGATGTCAGACGGGCTGTAGCCTTCTACTTGGACAGAACTAAACCATTTCGCAAGTCACCTTGTTTGTCTCTACAGCAGAGCGCTCCAAGGGCTCTACAATACTGACCCAGAGACTCTCCAAAGGGGTCTCTACCTGTATTCAAACTTGCTACTGCCTGCATCACAAAGAACCCCCAAGGGCATCAGATCCCACTCAATGCGAGCCATGGCGACATCAGTTGCATTCTTGAACAATGTCCCCTTAATAGATATTTGTAGAGCTGCAGCCTGGACATCGGAGCACACTTTTGCAAAGCATTACGCTATCACCCAAGGCCTTGTCTCAGACTCTATCGTTGGCCTTACAGTGCTTTCATCACACACTTATACATAACTCCGAACCCTACCACCCCTGGTGGGGTACTGCTCTACAAGCACCTAGAGTGGAGCAGCCACAGGGACACCACTCGAAGAAGAAGTTACCTTGTGCAGTAACGATGGTTCTTCGAGATGTGTGTCCCTGTGGGTCCTCCACTACCCATCCTCCTCCCCGCTACTTCAGAGTTCACACAGCCGAGCGCTGCGGTAGAGAAGGAACAGAGGGGACGGTCGGGAGAGCGCGCGCTACAGGCGGTACCAACAGCTGCACGAGACGACTCCTGTGCGCGCCCTTCCCCTGACTGAGTACTGCTGCGAGAAATCTCCGATCTCCGGCGTAGGGACACACCAACACCTAGAGTGGAGCACCCACAGGGGGACACATCTCCAAGAACCATCGTTACTGCACAAGTTGAGTAACTTCTTCTTTTGGAGACGTTATCTGATAGCAGTGTTAGACAGGTGGTCTTGGACTCTATGAACCCCAAATGTGGCAGTGGCGACTACTAAAGCTACAGAATAGCTCATTGTTTTTCTGGGTTCATTTATTAGTTAATTGCTCTCAGTGTTCCCACTGCTTTATGGCGTGCAGGGGCAAATTCTCTCTGAAAATGTCTGGGGTTTGTAAAAGAAATCTAGATTATTTTGCTGATGCTCAGTAGCTGAAATAAAAGTGTAACTGTGCTAGCCCAGCAGGTCACTTAATACACATTTCTTTCATTCAGACGAAGATAACTTCATTCATTCTTGCATTACTCAAGCATCACACTTTCAGCAGTGACCCCCTTTCATCAGAGTTACTCTTTAGCAGTGCAGGAATCCGTTTTTTCGCTGCACATTTTTTTATTTAGTCCATACCTTTAGAGCTTGTGTTTACTTTCTCAGTTCTCCTCTCCTTCCATTCCACTGCTCTGGAGGTCTGACATTGTACCAACTTGCTTTTTTTAACCTGAGCAGTAAAGGTCACTGCGGGCCAGTGATAGGAGGTCCCTGGCTATGGCTTCAGTTTGACAAAGTCTGACAGTGCGGCAGAGATGTTACGCTGTTCTGTCACAAGCACAGTGCATCACTGAGTATTGGCAGCCTTCAAACAGTTTCATGGCTAGCATTTATAGAGTTAAAGAGGTATTTAGTTTAGTCCTTCTTAGCTGAAAGGTTGAGGGCCTCAAGGAGTGCAGGTGAGAACTGGTGGATCACCTGAGTCCAAGGGAGGTGCTGAGGGCACTAAGGGTGTTTTGGGAGGGAAGGGATCACTCTGAGATCTGCTCAGTTTACTCAACCTCCTAACACAGGTGCACGTTATAGACACAGATCTCCTTTTGAGACATGGAACAAACTGCATCTCTGCTTTCTCTCCACCGCTGCTGTGTCTTTGTTTCGTGTTGCATCTACAGATGTTTCTACAATTTACCGTCTGCCTGTTCTTTCATTTCTTCTGTTGTGTGTTTGTGTATTTCCTTTTAACGTGATGATTAATATATCTTTGTTTCTCTTTTCACCTTTTTCTGTTGCCAACATTTGTAGGAAGAAGAGCAAAAGCAGGCAGTAAGTTGATTTCAGTGTGTAGTTGATCTAACTTGGGTGGGGTTCTGCATGAAAACACAATTTTTGTCCTGATGGGATTGTATGTAAATAAACCATGCATTACTTTTTCTTTGTGGCTAGTGTAATGTCACTCCGATGGGGTCTTTCTCATTTTTAAAATTCCAAACCAGAACTCTTCAGTTCCCAGTGGAGCATGTTCTTAATAAAGTACTGTGAGCTTCTTTTCCTCCCCTTTCAAATTAAGTTTGTTGCCTTGAGTACATGACCAGTGAGAACATTTGTTTGTTTTTTAGAAAAGTGCATGATCAACCAGATTGAAAAGACAGATTCTCAGCTTGTTTTACTTTGTATTCTGACAGTTTCTCAGGAGTATTTTGATAGCTTTCTTGTCTCTTTGAATAACCTGGAATTTGCCTGTTTGCTGTGTACAAGTCCATGCATGAAAACTAATTTTGATACTCTAGGCATGGCTTCATGTCATGTAGCTCAATATAGTCTCACTAGACTAGTCTGTTTTGCGCTCATTGCAAATGAAATGTGCACACTAATGAGAGACAAGAATGCATTTGCTGTTATTGATTTCCATTTCCATTGCCCTCCTACTAAAATTTGAATCCAGTGTTAACTTTGTGATCCACTCCAGAGGGAGCCCTTTTTCTTTTTTAAGGAACAGCCTTATATTCAGTTATTTGTCTTCAGCAGCACACGCTTTCAGCACACCCCAGCTGTTCTTCTCTGTGCACATAGAGTTATGAAGATTAACCCTATGTTCACTTTGGTTGTTTATTTGCCATATATACCTTACACAGCTTGAAAATATTCAGATAACTTATTTCTGGTAAGAAGATGTACCTATCGATGAAGCTTCTATTGATGAAGCCTCCGAGTCACGCTACATCAGAAATGTGCTGGAACTGACCCTTGGTGGCTCCTGGAAGCCCCGTATTAAAATTTCTTCCCCAAATTGAAGGGACGATTATGGTGATTTCCCTCCTTGTGCTGGAGTTCGCTCCTCTCTAGATGTGGCTAAATCAGAGGTTCTCAAACTGGGGGTCGGGACCCCTCAGGGGGTCTTGAGGTTATTACATGGGGTTCACGAGCTATCAGCCTCCACCCTAAACCCCGCTTTGCCTCCAGCATTTATAATGGTGTTCAATATGTTAAAAAGTGTTTTTAGTGTATAAGGGGGGTCGCACTCAGAGGCTTGCTGTGAGAAAGGGGTCACCAGTACAAAAGTCTGAGAACCCCTGGGCTAAATCATCCCATTCAGAGAAGATTTATCCGGGGGTTCATAAAAATACCTCTGCAAAACAACTTGTGACTTTTAGGAATGGACCAGATTACACCAAACAACAGGTAAGTACAGAATATTTCCTGGGGGAAGAAGAACCCCAAGACACCCAGATAAGGTCTGTACTCCTCTCCCCTGTCAAATTGCGAAAGCCGAACATTGCCATATATTGTCATCATACTCAGGATAATTTTCAGGAATAAACATTTCCATGGAAGTGTAGCATAATTAACATTTGTTTTCCCAGTGCCGCTGCCTCCTTCCTGGTTATTGTTTTAGTTGGCTTGTGGGGGGGTGGGGTGCTCTCTAGGGTTGCCAACTTTCTACTGAAACTGAACATCCTTGCCTCACCCCTGCCTCGCCCCTTCTCCGAGGCCCCGCCCCTGCTCACTCCATCCCCCCTCCCTCTGTCGCTCACTCTCCCCACCCTCACTCACTCGCTCATTTTCACCAGGCTGGCTCAGGGGGATGGGGTGCAGGAGGGTTCTGGCTGGG